GAGTAGCTGTCCTAGGTTTTCCGGCGGTGTTGGAGGCTCTTTATTATGCTGGAGGTAGTCAACTTCAGATAGTATTAGCTGTAGAGTGGGCCATCGAAGTGTCCAAGCGTGGCACCGTATTTTGTGCTGCCTTGAAGGACTGGTGGGTAACAAATTCAGCAAAAAAGAGATGGGGTCAGATATGGTGTGAGGAAGCTGCAAGCGGTTGTGTATCTTAAGGCAGTCAATGACGTGGGCTTTTGTAAGTGTACGCGTTGGATGGTAGAGGCAACTGGTTGAATAGTTATTGGGTAGCCAGCCAAGGCGCCATCGTAGACATCGATCACGTTCAACAAAGGTCATTGGGAGCCAGAGAATGGGGTCAAGCGATATATCGGGGCGGCAGAGCAGTAGTAGTTTTGAAGGCTGTGTCGCATTCCGCAGTTTATTGAGATTCTCTTGACGGTAGACACGGATAGCTTTGTTTAAAGAGCGAGAATCATGGGTTGACGGGAGCCGGTTCCAAATGACATTAGTGGCGGAGAGCTTGTACCATATCGAGTGACTTTCACGGTTAGCGATTGTTGGTAGTAGTCCAGTCAGTAGAGCATCATCAGGAAGATTTTCTGACCTAAGCAAGAATTTTGCTTGAAGAATATGTAGCCTTTCTCGTATAGTTGGTAACTTTAGCAAATGTAGCATAATGGTCACTGAGGAGCGAGAGGAACCACCAAAGATTCGACGCAGGCACTTTTTCTGGGCTGTTTCTAATTTATCGATCGTGGACTTTTTATATTTGACAATGGCTAAACCATATTCTAATTGAGGGCGAAGTATATGTGCGTAGAAGCGAGAGGCTAGTAGGCGACTAAAGCCGCGGGGATTTACTCCTATAGCAGCTAATTGATTCAGTGTTTGAAGAGCTTTCAGTGCATTTTGGGTGACAAGTTGTTGGTCATCGATTAACCCACCAGGTTTGAACGGAATACCCAGGTATGGAAAAGTAGAAGCTTGTGGTATCGGATGGTTGTAGAGTTTATAAGTTTGCTGAATTTCACTGTCATCTAAGATCACACATTTTTGAGGGTTCCAGCGAAAGCCCATGTCATAGCTGTAACGTTCACTTTGTTGAAGAAGGTTGCGCATATCGTCTTGAGAAGCTATTAGGACCACATCATCAGCATATAAGAGGCAATTGAGGGATGAGGCGAGTTGTGTCGGGCTGGGTTGTGCAGGAAGTATCGTAGTTCGTAGCATGCGTGGGAAATTATTGATGTATTGTGAGTACAGGAAGGGTGACAAAATGGATCCTTGTACAGTGACTCACAAAAGTGTGGCAATAATTCGGTCTTTTAACTACTTCTTGCTCTTTCTGCTCTTTTCATCATACAATTATATACATAACAGCAAGAGTATTTTTTATGAACAAGAAGATAAAAGCTTTCTCTTTCATACGATATAACTTTTGTACTGTCTCGATAAGACTAACATAGTAAAAATTGAGTTTTAAAATGACATATATGAATTTCATGCAAATTTGCGATCAAGGTTCAGGGGTAAACTACTTTTATTGAAGATTTAATACTTCGTAGGTCCACCTTTTGCCTGTATAACGGCTTGTATACGTCTAGGCATACTCTCGATGTGTTTCATACACATTTCTGCCGTAACTTTGTTGTACCAAACGTCGGCAACACGATCCCATAGCTCTCCCATGTTCTTGGGAGGTACATCGTACGCAGCTAGCTTGCACTTTAGATAAAACCAAAGATTTTCGATCGGATTCAGGTCAGGGGAGTAGGATGGCCAGTCAAGAACGTTGACCTTGTTTTTTCTGAACCATTCTTTAGTATATTTAGCAGTATGCTTAGGATCGTTATCTTGCTGCAAGATCACATCCTTCTTTTTGAGACCATAATCTTTGAGGGTCTCCATAAAGTCGCCTTTCAAGATTTCACAATATAACTTCGAGTCCATCCCGCCCTCAATCTTAGCAATGAACCCAGGCCCATGTTGGGTGAAACAACTCCATAGCATTAAGCTACCGCCACCTCCTTTGTACATGAAATTAACGTTGTGAGGCTTTAGGGGCTCCCCTTTCTTTACCCAAGTCCAAGTCTTACCATCCGACCCCAAACGGTTAATTTTGGTTTCGTCACTAAAGACAACCTTTTTCCAGTCATCGACAGTCCACTTGCTATGAGCTCTTGCCCATCTCAAACGATTGCGGCGGCGTTCATTAGTCAATGGCAATGCTGATTTCTTGATCTTGGAATCAAAATCAGATGACTTGAGCACCCTACGAATCGTTTGAGCAGAAATATCGTGCCCTTGAGCACGAAGGCTTCTGGAGGCATCCACGGCGGTTATATATTGACCGGTGTAGAACGATCTCGCGATCAGCCTAGCATGCAAATCGCTGATCTTCTTTGGTCTCCCCATCTTCGCATTAGGCTCGACTTGAATCTCTTTGGCGATTCGACCAATGGTCCTAGTAGAGACGCCAGTAGCGGCCGAAATAACTCTGTATGACTTTCTAGCATTGAGTTGAGCTATAATATCCATCTTTTTGTCGTAAGGAATGCTTCTCATTTCACTAATTAAGATGATGCTTGCTAATGGAGGCTAATGGCAGATTGATCTCGAATTTAACTAAATGTTAGGAAGAGAAACGCTTCAAAATAAGCGTTTCGCATGAATATAAAACTAGGAACCTGGTTTCGATTGGCTGATTTTGAAACTCTTTCTTTCTTTTCACAAAAAGTTGTGATGATCATCATGCTGTGAATGGCGAGATTTCGCCATTTAGCAATGACAACTGTTACAATCAGTAAATCTGAAGCGAATGCAATGAAAAGCACACCAAACTGTAGCGAATAGAGTATACTTCAAATATAAATAAGAAAAAGAGTGTGTTTTGTAATTGATTATGGAAGGAAAACTAGAAAATCAAAAATCACAAAACATTGCCACACTTTTGTGAGTCACTGTAACACACCAGTACGCGGTTGGAAACGATATGAAGTTGCGTTCTGTAGTAATACTTCGATCTGTACATCATCAAATAAATTTTGAAGAAGAGCTAGTAAGGGCGGAGGTGCAGCCGCGGCCAACGCGTTCCAAACAATTCTACGATCAACCGTGTCATACGCAGATTTGATATCCAAGAAAGCAAGTACAGGAGGTCTATGGTATTTGCGACGTAGCATATTGCAAATTTCTGCAAGGCACAATGCTTGGTCCAGCGACCCGCGGGCATTTCGAAATCCACCTTGGGCGATATCAATTGGTGGGCTATGGACTTGCAGGTAGTCTTTCAGACAGTATTCTAGAATTTTTCGAAAGATAGAGGTCAGGCTAATAGGTCGATAGTTATTAGGATCTTTTGCATCGCCTTTCTTGTAAATAGGAACCACCTGAGCCAGGCGCCATTCTGGAGGAGTATATGACCAGGTCCAACAGAGAGTAAACAGGGCTGTTAGGGGGTTGGAGATCTCATTGACGATAGGGACTAGCATTTCTGTCCGTAGATGATCACTGCCAGGTGCTTTTCGCCTAGGCAATTGCTTTATAGCGGTTTTGACTTCTTCTACAGTAATCGGACACTCCTCAGAGAGGTACGGTGGCGAAGTGTCTATCCGAGTGGTACTTGAAGGTGAAGGTTGAGCAGGTAGAAAGCGACCCGAGTATACAGCTTCCATTGCGTTAGCCATGGTATCCGCGGCTTGCTGTGGTCCATCAGGAGAAGTGAATGTGGGCTTCACAGCTCGGTTTTTTCGAATTTTGCTAAAACGGGAGATAGCTGTTGGGTATTCAAGCGTCTCTAGTTGATGACAGAATTGACGCCATGTTTCGCGTCGACGTTGTAGGACAAGCCTACGTAGCTTAGCCTTGGTCTGTTGATGGAGAAGCCAAAAGTGGAGTTTGTTTAAACCGAATGCTTTCCGCCATTTGCGATAGTAGAGCTCTTTTAAATCGAATGTGTGCCTCATTGCATCAGTCCAAAAGTCATGCGCTGTAATGGTCCTTGGTTTTAGAGCACGGCCACAACTGACATCGAGAGCATTGTAAATTGACGAATATAAAGTTGAGGTTGTTTGATCAATAAAGTCGATTGCAGCCTGTCGAGTTGAGAGGGGCGGTCTGTTCTGCATCAGTGGTAAATCCTTTATCAAGTCCCGGAAAGTCCGCTGGTAGTGCTGGCGACAATCCTTTTTACGGAGGTTTGAGAGCTTCCATAATTTGCGAGGTGGTGGGGGGCGCCTTGGAGGTGGGGTACGAATATCAAACTTTAAGGTCATGAATTTATGATTTGAGTCCAATGAAAGGTCATCCCGGATCTCCAGGTTGGGATTGGCGAGTTCCACATTACTCAGGAAGTAGTCGATTATGCTGCTGCCATTAAAGGTCATCGAGGTGGGCTGTCCATGTCTTAGTCGTGCATTCCAATTGTACATATTATGCTCTTGCATCCAGGAGAGGAGTATGCGTCCACGACAATTAAACGATGAATCGCCAGTTATCGAGCCAAGTCTTGCATTCAGATCACCACATACTAATAACGAAGATGTGTTAGGAAAGGTTAACGGTAGTAGGTCAAAAATGTGAGTAACAACGGTATTGGGCAATGAGGGGGGTAAATATAAGCAGTGAATTAAAAAATTTGCTACGGTAAAAGAGAGAGTATACTTATTCAGCAAGGGATCGTCATGCTGTATATGTTGTACTGGGTAAGGATTGTCAGGGTGCACCAAAAGAGCAATGCCGTCTCGGCCACGTTGTGGACGTAATGCGTTGACAGGCATACCATAGGTGTGATACTGTTGCCAGGAGGTAGGATATTTGTTTGGTGAAAGAAGCCATGTTTCTGTGATTAATAAAAGTGAACTATTCCTAGCTGTATCTAAAATTGGAGAGATAGCTTGTTTGGGTAAGCCAGTGGCATTAAATAAGGAAATCGTGATGGTACTCATTATTGTTGGTTTTGGGGGGGGTGTAAAGTCGGTATCACTCATAATGTCGTCATTCTCAATATCAAAGATATCGGCTGGTGAATGTTGCTTTAATTGTGTATGTCCTAATGATGATGATGAGGTGTTTGCCATTACGGATGCATAAGTGTCTTTGTCGATCCAATCTTGCTTGAGAAAGTAAGTGGCGACAGCATATTTGACTGGTGTACGAATGAAGTTCAGGGCACGGACAAGTCGAGCGGTGTGGTGTTCTCGGGCTAAATCGTTACGTTCAGCGGGAGTCTTTTGCTCATATTTTGGATCCATAAGGATGCTGCCATCATTAGGATCAAAATCGTGTTTAATAGAGATCTTAAATTGTTGTAGCTGGTCGGTAAGTTCCTGAGCGTAGTCGTTGTGGACCAAGAAGGCGACAACGTTACGCGTTGGGTAGTGAATGTCAAGGATTCGGCTGTTATTGATGTTAAGTTTACGGAGGCGTGCACGAAGTTGTCCTATGGGCACTCTAGCTTTGGTGGGGACATAAAGGTATTTGAAACCTTGTGTTAGCGATGGAGGTTGGAAAAGACGAGCTGCTGCTGTTTGACGTTCTTGTTGGCGGTGTTCTCGGCGTTGTTGTTGAGCTTGTTTAATGATCGCAAGGCGCGCTTCATCACGCCAGGGGTGGACAGGTGAATCATTGGTAGGATTGGTTTTTTGACTATCGGTCAAGGCTGGGAATTGGCTGTTATAAACAGGTGTGGGGTTCTGCATGGTAGTTAAGTTCGAGTGTTGTGCAGCACGAAGGGCTGCATTTTCAGCTCGGAGTTGACGGATTTCATCCTGTAATTGGTGGATGAGGTCTCTTAAGGCAACTATGTCATCGTTGGTGATAGCAGGGGTTGGCTGAGCAGGTGTATCTGGGGATCCATCATTGCTGGAAATTTCCATAGGCAGCTGGGTTTGGTTGTTGACATTACTGACAGTCTGTGAGCTGGGAGGATCATCGTCGACGTCCTGGTCGTTCTCAGGACGGGTAAAAGGGAGGTGAAGATCAGGTGTATTGTTGATTATGTCGAACATGACAGCGGCGTTAACGTTCTTACCACAAGTCTTACAGATGTAATTGGGCTGAGTTGGGTGACCCGTAACTGAGCCTGCTTTATGAAAGGTGGCAGTTTGGTGGCAGTTGGGACAGGCTATATCTCGGCGGCAAATGGCGAAGACATTCGTCAGATAAGTAACTTGTCGTGGGGACAACAGGTTAACAGTGGGCTTGCGACCCTTTTTTCCAGGCGGCATGAGAGAATAGGATTGGAGAGACGGTAGCAAATGTCGAAGATGTTAATGTGTGGTAGATGTATATGAAGGTCACTTTCCAAAAAAGGCAAAAATTAGCTAAAAGTTATGGAAAGCAGAAAAAGAGCTCCCCTTGTAAAATACAGTATTTTCGCTTTAGATTCAGACTCTTTGAAAAAATATTCGGACGTTTTATTGGAAAAATTCATACTGTTTAAAGGAGTATTTTTAGACTTATCAATTGTTAAATTGGGACTGTTTACGAAGCTATCTCAGACCGATTTCTTTTTGCATGCATCTGTCCCAGTAAGTTTCAGCATGCCTGATCCAACCTTTACAATCATCAGGAGTAACTGTTTTGCAAGCTTCCATTATACGCGGCGTCAAAATGTCGTTGCTGTTTAATGGGTTTCTTGAATTATTACTTTTGACCTTAGCCCAGCACTCTTCAATGGGATTAAGAAATGGTGAATAAGGCGGCATAAATACAGTAGAGGTTTGTATCCTCTTTTGATAATAGCATCCACGACAAATGGGGCATGATGGATTCTGCAACTATCTATCAAGATATAGTAACCCTTTTTATCTGATCTGTCCAAAAAATCCATTACAATTTCCAAGAATTTTCCAGTATGAAACGCAGTTGTACCCTTGGGAACAGGTTGGGTAGCAGTTACAACTTGAGCAGCCTTTCTTTTCTTCGTTTTAGGCTCAACAGAATATTGCTTCTGGAGAATTTCTAGGTCGCCTGCCTTCAAAGGGTTGACCTTGGTGAAATTTATGTATCCCTCTGGCCATATACAACCGATGATGCTGACATTTATCCCTCGCTGTGTTTTCACCTTGACACTTGCAGGCTCACCTACTTTCGACCATGCTCGACATCTAACCATTTGGGAGTTGAACCCGGCTTCGTCCTGAAATTGACGTCAGCCGCTCGCCATTTTTCAATTATGCTCGAGCGAAGCTCTAATGTCCTAGGGGCATCCCTTTCCGCAATATACTTGCTGGCTTTTTTCAGAGAGAGGCGGCATTTTTCTCTAATGTGCGTATATAAGCTGGATAGAGCAATCTTCTCAATTTCGGGGTATCTCTCAAGTAATTTGATTCTTGCTTCATGTAATACTGTACAAGGCAAGGATTTTCATCGAAAAGCTCAATCAAGTATTTTGTATGCTCAGGAAATAGTTTTTAAGCAGTATTTCCATTCTTAGGGCCTTTCTTCTCGCTGCGAGGTAAAATAGTACCGTCACTTTCATTATACTCTCTTCTCATCTCAAAAGCTGTACTTCTTGGAATACCGCAAGCTTTTGCAGCTTTTTTACGGGCATTCCTTCCTCCTGAATCAAATAAATGAAGCACTTCATCTGGTCAGGCCCGTAGTTCTTGTATGTCTTAGTGGAGATTTTGATCTCTTGGAACTCAACCGTTAACTAGGAGATGTCTGCATCCACTTTGCTTCTGGTTTCATTATTAAACTCTTCATCAGCATTGAAAGACTCATCGTTAAGCTGACGAACAACGTTCGATGTGATTTCCGACATGTCCACATCGTTAGTACTGTAACTGCTGCCTCGACGAGTGTTTCTACCTAGTTCACCGTACTGAATGGCTAAGTCGTCAGTTTCCATATGGTCAACTGACTTATCAATCTCAGCAAGTACAGCTGCATATTCGAAATGAACGTAATCCATTGTTATTTCTTTGGCTCAGTACTTTTGTATGCTTTTATTCAACAGAAAATAGTTTAGGAGTAGAGCCCTCGTACTGTAACTGTCCAAATTCATTCAGAGGACAATCCAAAATAAGTTTTCAAAAAAGTCCGAATTTTTCTCCAAAGAGTCTGAATCTGAAACGAAAATACTGTAATATGGGCTGAGGGGGCTCAGCCCCCGGTGGAGTGGTTAACGCCTTGGCTTCCAAAACCAACGATTGTTGGTTCGATTCCTGTACGCCGCTGATATTTTTTCAGCTTTGATCCCTTTCTCTCTGCTTCCTAGGGTTTTTTAATGCCGCTATCAAGGTGGTTCCCGGTCGGTGTTGGTGTTTAAACAAGTTACGAATAATTGCGGTGCCCGCCCAGGCTTAATTAAGCAAGGTCCCGAACCGCGCCCAAAGTCTTAGCCTACCAATTATAATGATTAGTTTAGCCCCTTCCCCCGGTTGAAAGCCAATTTATACACTCGAGTTCGGATTTTTGCATGCAGATTACTATAAATAGAGTAATTTCCGGGGTATAGTTCCTAAGCTCATTAAACTCGCCTCAATTTCTAGTTTTCAAGGATATAAAAATTTTTTATTTTCGGAGTTTTATAAAAAATGGTCATATGTTTATTTTTGCTAATTATTCATCAATATAATCATCATCACTATGATTGTCGCTTTCACTAGTAGTATTATCCTCCTCATCAGTTTCTATCTCTTCTCTCGTTCTAACTTGCGGCAAAATTGATTCATGTACATCATTTTCAAGTGAATCCAATAATAATAATAATTGAATATTTTGAATTAATCTAGCACATATAGAAAAAGCTTTACCTTCTGTTTCCTCAAAGTTAACAGATACGTCTTTCGTGGCAGTCAAAATAGCATTCCAATAGTCATTGCTACAGTATACTTTTTTAAATTTCTTAAAAAAAAAATTAAGACATTTCTATCCAATAATATTTTCAGAATAAAAATCCGAGTCAGAACCCTCTGTAAAGTCTTGAATTCTTTTTAAAATTATACCGCAAGGTATTTTAGCTTTTTTAATTTTTGATTTTTTTTTCGATGAACTTTGACTTTAACCTCAGATTTCTCTATGACGAAGTAAGCTTGGAGCACAAGACTTTTACCATTGGAACGCTGGCGATTAGCTCCGTTACATATATAATTTTCAGCCAAATATTCTGATATATGAAGCTACGTCATCTGACATGACGTCATCGTAATAATATTACGTAATAGAGATAGTTGTTAGCTTTCTAATGGTAAAAGTCTCGTTTTCGAAAACAATTTCCTTATAGAACAATTTACACTTGAAAATTGAAAGCTCGAGTGTATAAATTAGCAGAGATCCCCTTCCCCCTTCCCCCCATTTACAGTGCTGCTATTAACCGGCTCACAAAAATATAAAATGATCTGTACAGTGCAATAATTACGTCAGAGCTACGAAATAAAGACCACTAGATAGCCCAAACGTCATAGTATAAGAAAGGAAGAATGACGTAATCATATGTTGTTACACAAAGCTGCAAATAAAAAAAGCTTGATTTTGGGCTAAATGCAAAATGATACAAATATGATTCAGTGTACCTTAAACTCTATTTTAGCGTACCTGATGCAATGATAACGTATCATTATGATGTAGAGAAGCTGAAAAATATATAAAGGCGACATTTTTACACAGTTTTCCCCATTACACTCTCACTTTTACCTCTCACAACTACCTCTCTACAATGCCATATAAACTCAGTAACGACAAACGAAATGACGTCATTTCAATGATCAAGGCCGGAAAGGGTACTAAAGACATCGTACAAGCCACTGGAGTGTCTAAAGCCCAAGTTGTTCGCATGAAAAAAGAACATGATCCTGATCGCATTAAATCTCGTGGTGGTAGAGTCAGTATTGTGTCCAATTACACAAAGCGAGTCATATCTTTTAGAGTCCGAAAAGGATTCTTATTATCAGCAAAGGATGTCCAAAGATATCTGTGGTCTCTTGGTTACAAATTTCAATACTCTTCCACAACAAGACTCATGAGATCCCTTGGCCTTAATTCTCTGTATAAAAAAAAGAAGCCTTTCATCAAGAGAATCAACCAGAAAAAGCGATTGCAATGGGCCAAAAAACACCGTGACTGGACTGTAGAGGACTGGAACAAGGTTATATTTTCCGACGAAACCAAAATTAATAGATGGGGATCAGATGGAGCTCAGATTACATGGAAGCATAAGGACGACCCACTTCGACCCCATAATTATCAGACTCAATTAAAAGGTGGCGGAGGCTCAATGATGGTTTGGGGATGCATGACATCATTAGGAGTAGGTTACGCATGCCGTATTATCGAGTATCCTATGAAATCAGAACTGTACACCCATATCTTGGCTACTTCGTATAAGGATACACTTGAGTACTTTGGTCTTAGCAACAAGGAAGTCATCTTTCAACAGGACGGAGACTCAAAACACACCTCGCAATACACAAAAAAATGGCTTGCAGACAATGGAATAAGGTATATTGAAGACTGGCCACCAAATAGTCCCGATTTAAATCCGATTGAACACCTTTGGCACCATGTCAAGTTGAAGTTAGATGCATACGACACTAAGCCCAGAAATATGAATGAATTGTGGGATAGATTCGATAAAGAATGGAATAAATTCACTAAAGATGACATGAAGAAGTATTACGAAAGCATGCCCAAAAGAATCGAAGAAGTCATCAAGGCTAAAGGTGGATATACTAAGCGCTAATGTTTTGTAGCCTGATTGATTTTACAGTCATTTTTACATTTTTTCATATTCCGCCCAAATTTCCTAAATAGTATTTTATAAAATTTTGTTCAATAAAACTATGTTACTTAAGCAATATTCACTCAAAATTTGAAGAGTCTAGCTTCATTTCTGCAGAAGTTATCTTAAATTATATTTTTGTGAGCCGGTTAATAGCAGCACTGTAGATAGTATGCTTTTTCGCCCACCACGGCACCCTGACCGACATTATGTTTCGCTCTATTCTCAACTCGAGCTGCCCCGGGCAATTTAGATAAGTTTAATATCTCGTGTCCATTGGGCTTAAAAAATGTCAGTAATAAAAATCCTTGTTTAAACGTAATATGGGCTGAACCTTCCCTTTTTCCTTTGTCCCGTTTAAAGGTTTTTTAATTCCTTCACACTTTCCTTGAACCTCCCCGGGCAATTTTGATAAGTATTTATCTGTGTGCTCATTGGGTAAAATTTAATTGTAATAAAATATCTCTTTAAACGTAATATGGGCTGATAGGAAGATACATGTAGTGTTGTTTAGGTGAATAACTACATATGTATATTTGGCCTAGGTAATTATAGAGGACAGCACAGTTCTTCCTTTCCGAACACTAGAGTAGCTTACGTCTTTTCTAGTTTTTTATAAAGTATCTATTCACTTGCCTTGTTATAGCAGGTTATATTCAGAAACATTAATAACGTTATCCCCTTAGTTAACACCTGTTAATTAGTCTTAGCCTCTCACAGCCAAGTCATTACACTAGGAGAATAAATTTATGCTACTCAAGCTATTGAACAACTGGCTGATCCACAACTTTCTATATTAATGTGATTCTTTCATCTCTAGCAATTGAAGTAAGTGTGCTTTGGGAAGTACCAGGTACATTTATGAAGCATAGTCTCCATTGTATAAAAACGTGCGGTTGGATCATTGACATACAGTAAGTCCAAGAATATGTATCTCAATCACTCCTATACATAGCTACCCAAGAGTGTGAACCTTAATGGTATGCGGTATTTATGTTACTGACAAATGTAATCTTGCCAAGTAATGTATTTAAAATAACATTTGTAATTGTTTCTATGATAAAAATACAAAATAAATAAATTGTGGTAAATGAGTAAATAACAATTAATTATAAATTGTTATTATAATTACACGTTTTCGTATAGGTTTTATGACGGCATAGGTTATCGATTCGTTTTGACCGGTCCACTGTATTACACCCTTGTGTTATGTCTGTAATTTCTGACTCCGAATATTAAAATTCCCGTGACCATAGCAGAGCCTGTCAAATAGAAGCCCGGCGTTATTTGTTAAATGCACACCAACAAGGTATTGGGGTTTCGTTGGTTGGTATTAGTGGCTATTGAGTTTGTTTTTTTGGTTTCCAACATTTAAATACACTGTCAAGGTTTTACAGTGTTATGACGCCTCCTACGCGAATACAATTATTAGAGAGGTTTCACATCTTTAAATTATAAATATGGCTCATCTGTAGTTAAAACATCCTCAGTGTTATTATCCTGTTCTTTCTTGCCCTCACATTATTTTCCTATACATCTTTTTAATAAACGTTATCCTATGAAGTACTATCTTTCTGTCGTTGTAACTTATCTTCAGAGACGTTAGTAACACCAACCCCACAGTCTTGTTCTGTGAATTGGTCTTCATCATCTCTGTCACAGCTCACAGTCATTACATACAGTTTCCCTAGAGAATGTCCGAAACAACATCTTTTGCGTTAGTATGGTATTTGGATTTGAATGAATCAAATACAGTAACTCTATTTTTGTTGATCAAACCATATACATACATACTGTACCGTGCCTTCTCTACTTATCCAACTTGTTGATCCCTTTTGAGACTGAGTGAGTCAGCGAGACCGAATAATAGTTCTTGGATAATTTTCATTTTGGTTTAGAGATTGAATAGTCTTTTACTGTATATGAATGCGAGGTAGAACTGAGCTTATAGTGGAATTGAGAAAGTAGTAGTGGCAACCGAGTAATGTTGTTCCTGTTAATGAATTGTACAACACCACTGCAAGATACTATATCTAGATTACGAGTAAGGTTTGTGGCATTTCCATAACTCCTATACTGTATAAATCTTTAATTGGAAATAAAATAGCTAAAAGACTCTGAAGATAAAAAAAATATTATATGAATTGAAGTATTTGAATGTTGAAAAGTTGAATTACCCCCTTTTTACATGTATACGTTATGAAGATTTGCATTGAAGTACGTTTAAAGAAATCTTTTATTACAATATTTAAAACCCAATGAGCACCAAAATTGCCCGGGGCAGATCCTAAAGTTTCTATACTATAGACTATGTATTGCTAAAAACCCCTTCGGGAACAAGGGTAAAAAGGATTGAATCAGTTGTTGTTGTGTGTGAGGGCTGGGTCAACCATTGTAATAGGGCGTAGCCTAGTGAGGGGTCTGGTGGAGGTGGATTCAATCCATGAAACAAATGATCGAGTTCATAAAGAATGCGGCAAATGGACGGCCAACGGACGGTCCATGTTTAGCGAGTGACGGCTGATCGAGGGGGACGAGTGGGAAGTTGATTCAAAAAATTAGACAATGGATCTAGAATTGATATTGGCATCATCAGACGTTGATCCATCTGTAAGCACTGTATGGCATGTTGTTTTGTCATGATGGTGGTGGGTTGATGGAAGCAAAAGTTGGAATGATCACCAGGTAGCCATCCAAGACGGCGTCTTGGATGCAGCGGCTACGCTCTTCGCTAGTCATCGGAAGCCAGAGTATAGGGTCTAAGCTGATGGATGTCGGACACGCAGAGAGTAACTTTGTGCTCTGGTGTGCTTGTTGCAGTTCATGTAGGGTTTCTGTTGGAAACTCACGAATGCATTTGTTAAGGACTTTATGATCGATAGACTGTTGTTGTTGAGCTCGGTTCCAAATAGGAGAGCGGCTTAGACGAAAATAGGCTGATTTGCTGGATGGATCTTGGATGTAGGGGTGCAGTAATGTTAGTAGAGCATCATTTGGTAAGTGGTGAGAACGAAGTACTGTATGTATTTAGCCTGGAGAATCGCACAGCGTTTCTTCATGGATGGTAGATCAGCCATGCGGAGCATTACTTTTACAGATGAACGGGACGAACCACCAAAGATCCTTCGAATACAGGTATTTTGGGCCTTCTCTAGTCTGAGGATGTTGGCGGAGGTGAAAGGACATACTGTATATGTAGCTGCACCATACTCTAGTTGAGGCCGGATCATTTGAGCATAAAATCGAAGAGCCATTCTCAAAACCATGGTTGTTTAAGCCAATAGAACTGAGGATATCCATCGTAGCCAATGCTTTCGTGGTATTGATACGGATTAGTTCGTTGGGATCCACATAGCCACCCGGGTGGAAAGGAACACCAAGGTAGGGAAATGAGTTAACTGACCTTAAGGGGGATTCATAAAGGCTATAGGTCATAGGGTCATTATGGGGATCGAGAATAACACATTTATCAGGGTGCCAGCGGTAACCAAGGGCGTAACTGTGATTTTCACATTGATGTTGATATATCCAGTTACTTTGAAAGACTTACTGTATAAAAATAAAATAAGACAGTAAAATGACCAGACTGTGGTATTTGACGACTTGTAGAGTTAAATATCACTTAGTTAAAACAATAAAAAGTTAACGAGATCAAACTAGTAGGTCTTTATTTTGAATCAAGTTAAGTTCAAAGAGAAGAAAAATATCTACTGCAAAAATTTAAATATCTTCTTCATATTGCGGAACCTAGAAACTGACAGCTGAGTTATTCTACTCAAAGAAGACGTACGTCTTCTGAACCGTAAAAGAATAGAATTCTCCCTTGAGGAGATTACGCATCTACCCGGAGCGGGTGGACTTGTAAACGTATCCATGGCTTGATCTAGTGATCATGCAACTAACCTATTTTCCCGTGCTAACCATTATGTAGCACTGCTTGCAGGAAAATAGAATTAATTAGGAAAATAGTATTCGTGCGTGGTGTTTGAGTTGAGTGAACAGTTATTGTAAAGGATGATCACAACCTATTATCTTGTAATCATTCTTTATGCCGAAGGCAGAGAATAGTACTTATAACCTATTATACCTTGGTGTTGAATCAATATATCCTGCATGTCCATATATTAATTCTACTATATATCCCATGTCATATAGTAACGTATTATAGCAAAATAAGTAAACTATATATCCTAAATGACAACCTGTTCAGCCTTATACGAGGTAGCTAATCTCGTATAAGAATCATCACTTATTCTATATTCGTTTCCTACTCTACTTTATATTATTTCAGCAGTAATGAGGTGTGAGGATCTTGTATAATTTGTATACGAGGTCTCCACATCTCATATGATGCTGTCAACTAAACACAACACTTAATTCACGGTACTCATATATTAGAGTTTATGTAGTTTCTAATTATTTCTGGTTTGCAATATTGTATAATTCATCTTTATCCTTCATAAAGTGAATTATGTTTTTAATATTTCTATATCATCTACCCTCAAATACGACACAGACACAACAAAGATACTCTTTATTCAAGTCTGTTGAGAATGATACTTTTATATGAGAAACGGGGTTATTAACGGGTATTCAACTATTAATACAACTGAACTAAAACTATCATGAGAATGATAAGATCTAGCCGCAAGCGGGTGTCAAAGTAGATGTGTATCAGATTGTCAAGCGGGTACTGAAGTCGTTCTGTAGTTTAAGACGTATAGTTGTATCTTGGATACAACAGATGTAATAGATGTTGTAGATGGCGTCGGTTTGCAATCAGTACCACATCATCAGCGTATAACAGGCAATTCAGCCGAGTGGCTAGTTCACAGGGAGGTTTTATACCGTTACAGTATTTTAAGTTTTATAAGGGACGATTTCGAAAATTTTGTGGACGAAGTCGGTACGTACCTTAATTGGGACTTTTTTTTTTTAGTGGACTATAGACTTTCGATTTTAGACGAAGTAGGATTTTATTGTAGATTTTTTTTACATTTTAGACGTCAATATTAATTCTGAAAGCATACAGTAAGTGAAAATAACATTATCGTTCATCGTAACCCTACTTCCTTCTGTAAACATCTCTCCCAGAAACTCTCAGCGTACCTTACCCATCCAAGACAATCATCGGGCGTAACTGTTTTGCTTGCTTCGCTGATACGTGGAGAGAGATCATCACCTTTTTGAAGAGGATTCCTTCTAATGCCTGCTTTGATTTTTGCCCAGCATTCTTCAATTGGGTTCAAAAATGGTGAGTAAGCGGGCATGAATAGCGGCTTGTAGCCGCGTTTGTTGATAGTATCGACAACGAATTGCGCATGGTGGATCCTGCAATTATCCATTACGATAAAATAGCCTTTCATGTCCAGTCTGTCCAACGTATCCATTATAACCTCCATGAATTTCACGTAATGATACTGTAAGCGAATGCCTCCTTTTTGCAATAATTGCAAAGGTTTTTAGCAGTAGCGGGAGCGGGACGTTGCTTTTTCTGAAAATCGTTTTCAGAACCGGTTTGTTTACTTTTAATGCCACTATGGCTCGTCTCAGCTTTCTTTTTTGGCGAAACGTTGGTAGCCAAAGCATGGTAGAGGGCTTCCTGAATAGGACCGTAATGAACTTCAATATGCTTATATACTTCCTCTAGTGTTTCAGGGTAATAAGTCGCTTTAAGGCCCTTATCGTTGTGTTTCTTCAACGATTTTTTAACCTCTTTTTTCGTCATAGGCAAAAGAGACTCGACGAACAAAGCAACAGCAACAACAGAGTTGGGGAGAGGGGCGCCAAGAAGACGGTGAATAGCTTGTCTATAGCGATCCACATAGTCGCGCAGAAGCTCAGTTTTCGACTGGCGCATCGTAACAAAATTTTCTATTTTGTTACTGGGTGTTGAAAGGTACCCAAAGCGCTCAATGATGGCTTCTTTAATGCTTGACCAGTTCGTCTTTGCAGGCCTGGGGTTGATATTGGTTTCATACCAACGGCTGTAAATGCTATTTTTACTAACCAAGAATGATGATACTAAATACTTGCGCCAGCATGCATTCAGATCACAATCATGGCTTTGTAGAATTGTTTCAAAGGCCGTAGTGAATGACTCAGCGTTCTCGTACGAGATCCTACCTTCGGTTTTAACCTCAGGCGCGTCGTCTACCAACTGAAACAGAGGGATTTCCCTGAGAGGAATGTGCGGGTGCGCATACTTTGATTGCGCAGTGCCGTGGTTTGAAAATTTTTTATGAGGTGGCTTACCCTCGTTCATCAAATCCTCCATCAATTGACGAAGCTCATTGATAGTGTTGCGCATGTTCTGAACTTCGGAAGCATTAGAAGTCGTCGAACATTTTAAGTGTAACTGGTTGATTTGAGTCTTATACCGTACGATCAAGACATTGTTAGAAATAATAGTCAAATTTTGACCATCCAACTCAGGGGCATTAATATTAATGCTATTGTTATCAAGATGCGAATTAGTTTCATTGCCAACATCATTATATGCAAAAATATTTGCAGAAGTGGAAGGGTGCCTGCTTTCTGCATGTCCCATGGTTTTATGAACCGTCTGTTGGGACGATCTATCACCAGAAGCAGTGGAAGCAGAAGGGGCAGAAAGAACAGCAGCGTCATGCATCTCTGTGTCTTCGGACAGAGAGCTGTCGTAACCGAAGAGGTCGGCAGGAGAAGGAGAAGAAGGTTCGTAATTGCTTGCAGTAGACATTTTTGTTACAGTAAGGTTCTTCGTTAAAAAAATTGTGGTATTTGACGACTTGTAGAGTTAAATATCACTTACATAGTTAAAACAATAAAAAGTTAACGAGATCAAACTAGTAGGTCTTTATTTTGAATCAAGTTAAGTTCGAAGAGAAGAAAAAATATCTATTGCAAGAATTTAAATATCTTCTTCATATTGCGGAACATAGAAACTGACAGCTGAGTTATTCTGCTCAATGAAGACGTACAACATATGAGGTTAACAGATCCATAGTACATATAGTACTTCAATAATAATTCACTCTTTCACAATGATCTGTCAGAAAGCGGACATTGGTTAGTGGTCTTATCATTCTATTTATATATTCGTCGCCAATTGCTTACAGTCCGATACTCTAACCTCTCAATGAGTAAGTACCCGCGCTCAACCATGGTGAAGGTACCCGTGTCTTTGATGAAACAACAGTCTATATGACACCGGCTAAACCCGCTCTATTCAGCCCAACACATCATCCTATAAAGATAGAAAATTTTTCATCATCTAAATATGTTTTTCTTTTGTACGATTTTCACTGAATAAAGAGTATAACAAGTTCTCCCAGAATTCTAACTCTTTTGATTAACTTTAATTCTTTGAAGATCAACAAACTCCGATTCTTGAGATACCAGATCGACCTTATGAGCTACTTCTAGTCACGTGACGGAGTTCTAATTATTACCACGACAATTATTTACCATCACATCAAAACTGATACGTTTGCGGTGCTTAATTGTGAAGATGGTGAGCGACTCTTGGGTTATTCTCAACGATTCTAATAGCCGAGACAGGTATTAAAATGATTTAGAATTGTTTACGATTTCCTAGGTTGTTCTATTCTACTCTTTCTGTAGTACTGTATCTGAATTCTCTTTTCAATCAATCAAATATTTTATTCTCCAGTAATCTCAATTTTATAAAAAAGTAAACGACCGAAAAGGCTGCCTTTCATAAGTGTGGAGTAGTTTACGGATTATATAGGGTGGTTTTGGATCTCAGCTAATTATTTTTATATCATGACTTTATCGACCTTCCGGTCCTAGGGGAGACTGTCCAACCTTGAGAAAGGTGACGTAATTTTTTCTACTTTCACGGACCGTCTCAAAACTGTCAGTGTTTATACTTATAATGTACCGAACTACCTAAGGTTCGACCCGTAAGACCAAATGGAAGATAAAAACTTGAATGACCTTTTGTTGTATTTGCTTATTAAAAATTCATAACAGTTGTAAGTCGATGACTATGAACTTAGGTGTCTTTATTATTCTTCAGATGAAGTAGAAGGATTATTTACTTTGTGAGGTTTAACGGGAATTATATTATTTGAGGACGCGTATGCTAGTCACTAATTTCAGGTTCAGATGCTTATTGGGTGATTATTGTATATTTAGGCCTGTATCTTGTTCTATGTTGTACATAACCTATATTAGATGCAATATACAGTAGATAGACCGTGGTAGAATATATTCTCTACCTGGTTGTACGTACTCGAGTATTGTAGTTATTATCTCACCAAACACGTCACCTTTATTTTTCTTTCAAAATCTCTGTCTCTTTATATAGTCAAGTTATCTAAAGATTATGTACATTATTGTTGATCTTCAAAGAAAAAGGTTAATTAAAAAAGAGTTAGAATTCTGTGAGAACTTGTTATACTCTTTATTCAGTGAAAATCGTACAAAAAAAAAAACATATCTAGATTATGAAAAATTTTCTATCTTTATAGGATGATGTGTTGGGCTGAATAGAGCGGGTTTAGCCGGTGTCATATAGACTGTTGTTTCATCAAAGACACGGGTACCTTCACCATGGTTGAGCGCGGGTACTTACTCATTGAGAGGTTAGAGTATCGGACTGTAAGCAATTGGCGACGAATATATAAATAGAATGATAAGACCACTAACCAATGTCCGCTTTCTGACAGATCATTGTGAAAGAGTGAATAATTATTGAAGTACTATGTACTATGGATCTGTTAACCTCATACGTAGCATTTGTAGATCATAATTAATATCAATCGCTGTATTTCAACTGTGCAAGATTCTAGAAGAAGTCTAATCTCATATTATGGCTATATGGTTACTCCTAATGTCATAACTCCGATCATTATGTAATAACTCTGGCTCATACTGTATATACAACAATTATCGTGTAATTTTACTAAATTAATTTTTAACAAGATAATTGTAATTAAAAGCTCATCTACATTCTTGAGGGGATATTATCTACTGTATGTCTGCTCTGTATCTGTTTAGCCCTCTGTACATTGGGTCTAAATCTTTTCTTAATTTTAGTGGAGTTAGCATTCCTCCACTCCGAGCTCGACTCCTTTCCATCAGGATGTGAATGACGCCTTTTTCTAGTGCTGCATGCGTCATCCCCGTCGGGAACTGAACTAGCACCGTGCACGTGATCGGTACTTTTGGTGTATCCCATTGGTACACATTTCGCTATGACAAAACTGACACGTTAGGAGTAGTAGTCCGTGAAATAACTATGTTTGGTTTTCCAGTATAGATTTTGTTGTACTGTTTCTTAACTTAGATATAAGATTGTTACCCGTCACTTACAAAACTGTCCCAATGTTTCGTACTTTTGTGTTTGAGTGGTTTTGACGTATCATACAACCTAACTAAATGCGATGTATCTTAGCTTAAATGAAAGCCCTGGTCATGGTGAACATTTGCATATTGTCATTGGCGGTGATTAAAACATTGAACGCTAGCACTGAGTCTTAGAAAGCGGGCCTGTCATTGGGACAGTTTTGTAACATTTTATTTTTGACCGTCTAGCGATATAATAACTGAACCACAAGTCAGTAGAGAGTTTCAATCTACGTAAAATTTGCTGCACATTGCCCTGAAATGTCTGCCAACACATTCAAATTCTTATTTCTCAATTTTCTGACTCCGAATTCTGCTCTACTGGTCTATAATGAAGTCTCTCCCAAAATCCCAGGTTGACAGCATCATTGCTAAGCTTAATCAAGGTAAATCGGTACGTGAAGTGTCGGAAGAAGTTGGAGTGGGTAAGAGTAGTGTTCATCGGGTGAAAAGACAGTTTTGTCCGCTCATGAAGGCTTGTCC